GGCTGCTGAAGGGGATTAGCTGCCAGTTATCAGTCTCTGGGGTGAGATGGGTTTATTTCTGACGGGCAGGAGCCATTTTGACAGCCCAGACTCACTGTCGCTGGTGGCAGCCCTCCTTGCTGAGGATACACGGGGAGGACATTGTTGCAGCACCACAGCAACTCTTCCAAGGGGTGTCTTGAGGTGTATCTTCTCCAGCGGGGGTGAGGCAAACAGAAGGCCTGAGGGGCTCTAACACGGCTCAGAAAGCTAGCAACAACATGCAATCTGCAGCATCCAGGCTGGGTAGTGACTGATGGCCCTGGGCTGGGACCCCCAGAGCCTTGGGCAGGGGTGGGGAAGCACCCAGGGGAGATCCCCCCATGTAACACCTACAGGTACTCTCAGAGTCCTCGACTTTAATGCCTGAGCAAAGCATGGGGCCCTCAGTCCAGGCAAAACCCAAACCCCTGCCTGCAGAAGAAAAGCTGTCTTCTCTTCTAAGCACGGGAAAGGCTCTCAGCTCTTTGCTCTTGAAGTTCTGGTTGGCTCCTCCGCTGCTTCTGCGTCTCCTGGAAGCAGCAACATCACGTGTGTACCAAGCACTATTTCTGGCGGTGGCACAGGCTGTGCTGAAGTTCCAAACCCCAGCATGGCCGTGCCGGTCTGTCCCATCTGCTCACAGCACAGCAGCTCCCGGTGCAGAGGACACTTTCTCACTGCCCCAAACCTACAGCATCCGGAGCAGTGTGTGCAGCGGGGCAGCTGGCTGGGTGACCACCCTACATGCAGCCCAAGTCCCATGGGGCAGAGCTGACAACAGAAGTCCTGTTGAGAAACGCTGAGGCAGCGACTTCAAAGGTCACCCCAGCCATTACTTGCACAGGAAAGGCTCAGACATGTGAGACAGCTGTTGCTGTGAGAAGAGGGGAATTATGCACCGAGCTGTGGCCACTATTACAGAAGCTCAGGAAACCAAAGCCTGGGTCAGGTGGAGGGGCTCGGGTGCCCTGTGGTGCAGGGACCTCACCCCCTGTCAATTGTCCCATGAATGCAAGCACAGCTCTATCTCTAATAGATAAAAACAGGGGAGTGAAGATTTTCAGCCACTGGAGTCAGGCAAGCAGCTCTGCCTCTTCACTGCTCTGAGGAGGGCAGCATCTGGCTGGAAGCACCCAGATGTGCAATACTTGGGATCCAGCTAACCCAGTGCTAATGTTTAGTGGTGTGAAGGTGTCCTCAAAGCTGCATGCCCCCAGCTGTTTTGTCATCTTCTGTCAGAGAAAATGGGCCCTCCTGAGGCCCATTATGGTGCCCACAGGTAGGTGTCTGAAGTAGGTGAGATGAGACCTCTTTCACCCTGAGTTAGGTGAGATGAGTCCCACCATCTTTTAGCCAGCCTTTGAAAATAAAGGGAATATATTATTATACAGCTGACCCACTGCAAGAAGTGGTCCCCAGTGATCATTTTAAATACTATCAGTGTTCACATTCCTAACCAACTGTCACCTGAAATGCCCCTGTCCATGAAGAAATGGGTTGTTAGAAGCAATCTTGCACGGAGTTTGCACAGGCTTGCCCTGCAAGGCAGGCTTGTCCTCACTGCCAGCTCATGAAGCCATGCCAAGGATTATGTCTCCAGCATGCACTGCTGGAGCAGAGCAGGTTCCTCTGGTCAGGGTTGAATTCTCCAAATTCTTTAGGTGGAAGATCAGATATAAACATCTAATTTATTTATTTATTTATTTTCCAGTAGCAGCATAGCTCTGCTGCTGAGCTCAGATTCGCTGCTATGTTAACCTCTGGCTTCTCTGAGTTCCCAGAGATTAAAAAGGGCAGGACAGGTCATGAGGAAGAGCCCTTGGTGGCCAAAAAAATAACAGCTCAGAGCCACAGAAGCCAGGTCTGTATCTTCCGAGTCTACTTCCAGCCTGGCAGCCACAACAGCTTCCCAGCACTGAGCATGTGCAGTATGCTCAAACCTCAGCATTAACCAGCTGTGAGTCATGTTCTAAAAATGCTGAGGTGTGGTTTAAAGCCCAAGTTTGTATTTTTAAGGATAAATGCTGGTCTTTATGCACCCTCTGGGAGATAAGTTTTTCTACTTAAGAAGACTAGAAACTTCTCCTTACCAGGCCTTTCTCATGTGGTCATACCCTTTCAGAATGAAGGGTTATCAGGAAACGAATCAGGAGCTGCAAGAGCTGGCAGAAGTTCATGGGAGACAGTGAATGGTGAGCTTGGTGCTCCTGAAGCACTCTGCTGAAGCCACTTGAAGGGTGATGATCCCCGACCCAGAAAGTGTGACTTCAGTATGTGTGACCACCAGCCCCTCCAGACTCCCCCCCTCCTCCCCAGTGCATATGCTGAAAGCTTCATCTCTCTGTGCTGTGGTCTGAAGGTGCATGAGGATCCTGCCCATAGGTGATGCACAGAGATACATTGCTGAAAGCCTTACAGCTGCTGCTGCTGGCCAGTCAGGAGCTCCAGGTATGCCTGGAGCAGAGGCTGTCTGAGGAGGGCTCATGATGGGGCAGGACATGGGCTGTTTCAGCCTTTCTTACCTCCAGACAGCAGTAGAAAAGACTGGAGGAGTAGCCAGGCTCATTTGCCAGGCCAGCTGCAGCTACCGAGCTATGGATGTGGATGGCAGAGCTGCTCAGAAGCTCCTGCAGGAGCTAATTATATCTGTACTGGTCTGCGGTGAGGCTGCCTGTTGCAGTAACTCTCTGAGAGGTGTTCCCTGCCCACCTTCCTGTGGCTTCAGCAGGAGCCAGCTTCATCAGCATTGCTAACAGCACCACAGCTGCTCATTTAGCAACAGGCAGCTACTGTCACTGTAGCCCCACTCCCAAAGTGACTGCAGAGGTGCATACAGTTTAACAAGCCCCCCCAGTGCCTGTCCCACCAGTGTCCCCTCTCACCTGTTGTACATAGCAGAGGTTTCCAGTGCCCTCCTTAAGGGGATGTGTTTTGTCAGGTCCCACAAGCTGCCCCTCTGGAGGAGGTAGCTCTGCAGCACATTTTCTGGGGCTCAGTGGTTGTTCATGTCCCATCCCCACCATTCCCTTACTTTGCTCATAGAAGAAGAGCAGTTAGGCACAGCAGAGCCCCACAGTCTCAGCAGAAATCAGGTGTCTTGATGCAGATCAGCCCCTCCTTGCTTCTGATGAGCAGATTTAGTACTGCTGTGTGAATGAAACAGCAGGTCTAGTCCCTTGGGAGATGCTGACTGATCACATGCCAAATTGTCCCAGAGTCCCTCTTACCATCCTTGCTGACTGCCTCCACCTTGTGCACCTGGGGAGAGACAAAATTTATGGTACCACTGCCAGGGCTCTGGCAAATGTTGGGGAAACAGTATTTCACCTCCTCCCCTCTAGTTTTCTTCATGGACCAAAGGTCACTGATAAGCTTTCTGTGATCAGACAGGTTGTGGCTTCCCAGTATTCCCATGGGAACCAGGACCTTCAGGGGAACATGAGCTGCCCCAGGACTGGTGATGACCAGACAGTCCTACTTCTGCCCCCCTCTGTTGTCTGCTCCAGCAGCTTCAGCTCCATGGTGGAAGCAGCAACACGCCTGTGTGTGGCTTTGCAAATCTCTTTCCTCCTCTGTGCAAAGCAGCGTGGTGCAAAACACAGAAGCGCAAAGCTGGGGGGTTGGTATAACAGGGTGGTGGAGAAAGGTGTCCTTCAGATAAAATCAGTGCTATATGGGTCAACCCCTGCCCTCCAGCCTGTCCCCAGCACCAGCCTGCTCACCTGCTGTTTAGATGGACACAGATTTCCTGAGCTGCCAGCCAGATGTCTGAAGACTGAGGAAAAACCAAAGCAAATCAAACCTGATGTAGCTGGGTGCTTTTATCTGCAGGTAGAGCTGAGCAGCAGCAGGCTGGTTCCCAGCTGAATCTTTCCTTCTGTATCAAGCATAAATTCATCAGGTATTCCATTTCCTGGAAAGAAAAAAAAAAAAAGAGCAGAATAACTCACTTAGAAATAAAGAGTAGAGCTATTTTTTTCCTCTGACATGGTGAATGCAATTACCTAAGGCATGGGAGGCTGAGATAACTCATCCAGCCCCCACTTTCCAAAGAAACCATCATCATTCTGCCAGAAAAGTCTTTAAAAGGCAGTTCACATCCTGAATGCTAAAGCATCACCACATACAGAACCTGTCCTTATGATTTCCACACACCAGCTGCAGCACTGCAATCAAAGCACACTCATAGACAGGGCAGAGTTCATTATTATCAGGGCCATATGCACCACAACACAAGCTTCCCCTGTTGTGTTTGCTGACCCTTCTGTTGCTGTTGGCAACTCTTTGTCCTTCAGGAGCAACTCCCAGCGAAGCAAAGCATACTGGTATTCTGTTACCAGCATGAGAGCCACACTGGGGCTGGGAAAGTATGCATGGGGAAAGAGACCAAAGCTGTGTCTGGAGAGTTCAGTGAAGGGAAACCATAAGCCTGCACTTGCTTCCAGTTATAATCCCATTTGGGCTGCACCCTCCTGTACCATTACATAATGGGGAGTGCAGTAATACTTTCAGCAATGTTGTTTGAATGGCAGCAGTCCAATTCTGGACTGTATTTTATCTTTTTTTTTTTTTAACGGTGGGGTGGGGAGAGGAGGTTGGCAGAGGGGAGAAAGCATCAGTTTGGTTTGTCTGCAATCCCTGTTTTGCTTTGGGAGCTTTAGAGGACAGACACATTCTTCTATCTCCGCTAATCCCCCTCTGATACAGAGGATTTTCCTGCCATTAAATGATAGCTTGTGAGAAAAAAAAATGCCAACTTTTCAGAGACTGACTCGTATGGCTAATGGCAGCCTCATGAGCAGGAGGGAGAGCACAGCCACTGCCTGGCTAGGTAAGCAATGCATCCAAATGACTTCTGCTGGGAATTTTAGTTTCAAGTTTTTGATGATAAGCTGGTTATGCCCTCAGCACCAGCACCTATTTCCTGGGGACATGGCCAGTCTCTTACTGTTGCTGATCTTTTCCCATCTCAGATGATAGGAACCGCTGGTGAAAAGGATTCAGATGAGGACCTGAAAAGGAGTTTTACAGAGCTGCAGGATTCCCTGAGAAGGTCAGTGGTGGAAGAAAGATACTCATCAGGAAGGTGCTGGGGACTTCTTCAGTTTGACTGTGTGTGGGAGAGGAGCTTTTCCCATCATCTTCCTTCCTAAACATAGATCTCATTGTGGGAAAATGATGCAGGGAAATGAGAGAGGATGAAACCTGGATTTGCTCTTCTTGTGTGTTTCTAGATCCTTCAAGTTTGCTTTCCAGACCTGAAATGCCACTAGTGAATAATCAAGGTAATGTTTGCCATCATTTTAAATGGTGAGTATACTCTTATTTGGCATTACCTAGTAACGGATTAGGCAGGTCATTTGGAAAGATGTAGGGTAAATGCTCAGTTATTGCAATCATTGTTTCTTTACCCTTCTAAAAACTCTGCAAACATTTTTTTTTGTCGCTCACTTTTCTTTCCAAATACTGAATTACCATAGTGTTTAAAAGAGCAAAAGAGATCATCCCTGGGTGGAATGTTGTTTATGCCTTCCTCTAATATTTTTCCCTTACTGCTGTATTTCACCCTTTTCCTTAAACACACATCTCATTTGAGACCCTCTGTGTCAGTAAGTTGGAGGCATCTTCCAGCTGCTGCCCTGTCTGCTACCACAGTGTTAAAAGCAAAGAACATCATTTTTGGGGAAGGGGTACAGAAGAAGAGGTGGGAATGTTTCCAGCTATGCTGGTCAGAGGAGATCTGGCCAACAAAGGAGATGTGATCTCCTGTGCTCTGAGCAGCAGCTCTCCAGAGGGTTTGGTGAGGTTCAGATGGAGGATTTTTTTCTGACTTCCTTTGCAAGAGAAAGAGGGAAAATTGCCACAAAGGCTGTGGTGCTGAGGGGCTCTTACTTCCAAGGGGATGTTTCATCACTGGATGGTCCTTGAGTGCTTGTTTTCCATGCAAACAGATACGCTTGTAAATAGAGATCTTAGAAGTGTGCTGTGAAATGCCACTATCAGAAGACCCAGATTTGGCCTTAAAAAAATCTTTCACGTATAAAGAAAATAGGCTGGATATGGCTTGAGTACAGACATTTCCTTTATCAAGTGATTGAAGGACAATCAGGGAGTGGATTTCATTATCAGCATGCTCGTTCTTACACTGCACACAGTGTACACAGCTGCTAGGGGAGGTCTGCTTTGAAGGTCAGAGATGTGTCTGAGCTTGGGGTAGCTGTAGCTGAACATTGAGCTTGTTTGGGACAGGCTCACATAGAGGACTGCCTATGCACATATGTCCCTCTGGATGTCACCCTGAGCCCACACAAGGCTCTCATTCCAGCAGCAACACTTGCATCCATCATTTTCCAAACAGTCGCCTGTGGTTAGGCATTTGGGAACAGGCAAATCCTTAATCTGTCTGCCCCTCAGTTTATGTAACAGCTTAGCAAAAACAACAAGTGCCCCTGTTTGCAAGCAGCAGCGTGGACTGGTGCATAGAGGTAGCAAAGGAGGCATCCCCTGGGCAACCTGCACGAAGCAAGAGCATCATGAGGCCAGTGTGTTGTCTGCTCTCCAGTCCTCAGGCTCCTCACATGTCTGCTCAGAACCTTGACTGAAGGAGACTTTCTGTTAGCTGTGCCTGGTAGATAAGAGCTCAGGAAAAGGGAGAAGAGCATAAAAACAAACAAAATGACAGCCTGTCTAAAATCCTTTCCACCCCTCAGAGTCCTTCACTATCATATATCCTTGAGGTGATGCTGTTTTGCTAATACTCGGGTCACAATAGCGTGATGAGGCTTGATGGGACCTGAATTTCAATAGAATCTGCAGCTTCCTTCTGGAATGCTCACTCCATGTATCTAAATCCCTCTTCTACATGCAATGGCCAGGTTAGTTTGAACAGAACCAGGCTAGGCAGCTCCTGGGTTGATGTCCTATTAGTGGGGACCTGCGTAGCATCTGGTTTTGCAAGACTGCCTAAAGAAGTAACAGGTAGCATAAAGTCAAACATAGTTTTGTGCATGTTGCCTTCAGACAGAATGGAGAAAGGGCAGAGTTACTGCAGTTCAAACAGTAGGTTGGTCTGTACATTAAAGCCTTAGGGGCTGCAAAAATCAAAACTTTATGCTTGCTGAAGCTGATGCTTCCCAGCATATCACCTCACATGTCCATCTTAATAAAAATGCCTATTGGGAATACAGCTGTAATGGACAATTACTGTGCAGCAAACTGGCAGTGAGAAGCAGCCCAGCTGCTGGAAGGTTCCCTCTCCAGTCTGCAGGAGTGTGGGGGAAAGCCTGTCCCTTGGCCCCTGGGGCCAGATATGCACATAGGGGCCAGATACGCACATAGCGGCAACAATGTGATCCCAGCAGTGCTGCAATAAAGTGGCTGTTGGTAAAACTGTTGGTATCTCATGTCTTGCTGAAAAAAGTATAAAAGGATTATACTTGTGTGGGTGCTGATGAACTTCAGCAGAAAAACCAGGCAGTAGCAATACCACCATTTCCTGCTAGTGACTACCTGGAGAATCTGATGGTGTGGCTGTTCATTTTGTTGAGCAGCAGGTGGGATGTGCCTATGAGAGCAATAATAAAATGAGCTCTGCCTTCAGTTCTTCCTTTCTAATGAGTTTATTTTGCAGATGCCTGGCTGACAGGGTGTTTTTCCCCACAAAAATGCCTGTCCATGGGGGATGATATTTCCCATTCCTTTCATCCTTCTCTGATTTCTCCCCAAGAGTTTTCTCCTTCTCTTCATTGTACATCCACTTGCATGGGACTAACTTGAAAAGAAACCACAGTAGCCACACACGTCCCATGTCAGGCTGGTAAAAGGACAAAGCAGCTGCTCCCATCAAGCCTGAGGTACTATGGTGACTGTCTCAAGAATTGGCAAATCAATAAAAACTGTGCTGGAGGTCCAAAGTACCTCATCATGAAGAAAGCAGTTGAACAATGTCTATAAACTTGTTTTTCCTCATGCTGTTCTACCAATACACAGCGGGAATGTATTTTTAAACACTGTACCGCATCCTTAAGAGCTGGTATTTCCCCTTGCAGTGCCACACCAGCTCCTGGCTCTGGTGGAGAAATGTTAGGTTGAATGGAACAAGGAAAGAAAGAATCAAAAGGCATGAATTTGTCATGCCCCAAGCAATTAACTTATCGCCCCAGCCCACTGCCAGACTAGCATAGACTGTCCTCCCCTCTTCCCCACCCAGAAATACTGCAACCCATACACAGCTTCTGACCTTCAAAGCATCTCTGCCTGCTCCCTGGCCAAACCATGTCCCCATCAGCTTGCAGAGAGACCAACCACAGAGACACTGAGATCTAGGTGTGTCCACCTCTTGGGGAGAGAAATTAATGAGGGATGATATTCTAGATGATGTGTGACACACACACACATCTTCTTAGAAGGTTTAAGAACCCAGCAGATTTTCAGGAATCTTTCACGAGAACTTCCTGGTCAGCACTGAGGGTGAGAATTATCCTGGCTAGAAGGGAGGCAAAAATAGCATATTTTTTTTTCCTGTTATGACTAATATATTTGCATCCTGATTCTCTCCTCCCATCCCTCCATGGGGATGGCATGTTCCTCCCTGACAGTGATCCTTTGGGTACCCCACGTCCATGCGGTGTGGGCCTGTGTGCGGTCCTGCCCTGCCAACTGCGTGTGCACTCAAGAGCGGAGCTGCTCCGTCCTCTGCGATCGTGTCGGTCTGGGGCAGATCCCTACCCAGTTCCCTTGTGAAGCCTCCTCTATTAACCTGGACAAAAACAGCATCAAGTTCCTCTCTGAGAGGGCCTTTGGGACCTTGCCTTCCCTCAAGTCCCTGTCCCTCAATCACAACAATATCTCCTTCATCACCCCAGGAGCTTTCAAGGGGCTGCCCAGCTTGACTGAGCTGAAGATGGCCCACAATGAGTACATTCGCTATCTCCACACGCGGACTTTCACTGCCCTCAAACGGCTGGTGAAGCTGGACCTGGCGGACTGCAACCTTTTCAACATCCCTGACAGGATCTTCATTGAGTTGCCTGCTCTACAGGAGCTCTTCTGCTTCCAGAACAACTTCCGGAGGATCCCAGGTGCCATCAGGGGCATGGGGAACCTGACCCATGTTTACCTGGAGAGAAACAGGATTGAAGCGGTAGCCTATAACTCCCTGCAGGGCCTGACCAAACTGAAATACCTGAATCTGCAGGACAACAAGATAAATGTAGTTCATGAGCGAGCTTTTCAGGGCTGCCAGAAGATGGAATACCTGTATCTGAATGACAATTTGATCAGCGAGCTTCCAGAAAACTCCTTTGATGGCCTCAGGTGCCTGAAGATGCTCAACCTAGGGGGGAATTTTCTTAGGAACATTTCCAACACCTGGTTCAGGGACCTGGGGCAGCTGGAGGTACTCTACCTGGATCGTAACAGGATCAACTACATTGAGGATGGGGCTTTTGAAAACCTCACCAGCCTGGTTGCGTTGCACTTGAACAGCAACAACCTGACAACCCTGCCCTTTTCTGTCTTCCAGCCAGTGTACTTCCTTGGGCGACTGTACCTCTTCCGCAACCCCTGGGAGTGTGACTGCCGCATCGAGTGGCTGAAGGAGTGGATGGAGAATTACAGGCTTGTCAGGGATATTCCCTGTGCCTCCCCCTCCTCAGTAGCTGGGATTGACCTAATGGACGTGCTCTATGAGAGATCTCCAGAAGGTTACTGTCTTGACCCGGCTGAGCTAAATGTCACATCTGAAGGCCCGACCCCAACTGAAGAGCCTTGGTCTACCACAGAGAGCAAGTTCAACAGCCTTATCTCCAAACTCTTGCTCCAGATGGGCCTTTCTGAAGAGGTGGCAAATACCACTGAAGTCTACAGTAACACCACACAGCTGGGTGGACTGACTGATGGGGTTTCTTCTGGGGTGGGGAAAGACAGAATGGAGGCCGTCTCCTTCTCTTTTTACCTTCCAGCCCTTTTTACAGTGATTGTTTGGCAATGCAAATAGTCCAAGGGCTACATGAAGCATGGGTCCTGCATAAGTGTTCCTGTACCTACTCAAGTCATCAGGGAAAAGTTTGTATTATGAGCCTCCAATACATAACTGGATCCAAACTCTCCCATGTTGGGTTGGTTGGATCTGGCTCCTGATTCTCCTGGGAGCTAGTGGGATCTGTTTCAAGGCTGGATCACACTTCAGGTGATAAACCTGTCCTGTGGGTTCTTAGTGCTGCCCACTCACACTGCTGTGTGGAAGATGAGCAATGAAAGGATAACTGTAAGGTTGAGTTTCACTTAGAGACATGCAATGGCTCCTACTGGGAGCAGAGGGAAGAGCAGTCTGTATGGATGGCAGTGCGGTACTCTGTATTCTGTTGGGCCAACTCCAGTTGACCAAACTGTCTGCTTTATAAGAGCAAGACAAGGCATCAAAAGCACCCCCCCCCCCCCCCCTTCATATCCTGACAGACACCCACACCCACAGTGGATGCTTCCAGATGCTGGCAAACTGATTTCCACCAGCATGTGTGGGGGGAACAGGGCTGTCTTGAGCAGCATCCAGGGATGCAACACTAGCCCTTGTGAACAAGAGAACAGCATCTGGGGATGGCGCCTGCCCCAGGCAGGGCTGGGATGGGGCACATACTTCTCTGGGGAAAAGCTATTTAAACTGAACAGCTTACTTACTAACATTGTTTCAATGTGTTTTTACTTCTCAGTATATTGTTTCAAGGAACATATTGTTTTTATTTGTAGATTATTTCATGGCATGAAGGGAGGGGCAGAACATTGCAATGACAAATGCATCCACGCCCTGCTAAATATTTTGTATTTCCACCACTAACGTGTACCATATAGCATGTCATATTATGCTGTACAACCAACTATGCCATCATTTTCTTTCATAGAATCATAGAATGGTTTGGGTTGGAAGGGACCTTGGGTGACATAGTTTAGTGTGAGGTGTCCCTGCCCATGACAGGGGGATTGGAACTAGGTGATCTTAAGGTCTTTTCCAACCCTAACTACTCTATGATTCTATGATCTAGTTCTCCAATCCCCCTGTTATGGGCAGGGACAACTCACACTAGACCAGGTTGCTCAAAGCCTCATCCATATGGCATCTAACATGTTTTTTTCTTTGAAATCTTTGATGAAAGCTGCTAATATGATCAGAAATAATTATCATGCTTTATGTGTCAGAGTACATTAATAAAATACTTTGATATTTTGCTCACAAAAATAAATTAACTGCTCATCCCTCCCTTTTTATTTTTGAGATCCTTGAATTATTCTGGTAGTTTTTTTATAGGCTACTCAAATTAACACACATGAATGTCCTTTTTATGGTGTAGAGCAAATGGCACACTATTTATTGCAGCGTAAAGAATAGACACTTTAACTTAGAACATGATAGTACTTACATTTGTGTTAAGTAGTAACACTTTAAAAAATAAGTGACTATATAGAAATACACTTTTGTGATATTTTAACTGTATCAAATCATTATACATGGCTTATACTATGATGTACATGTTCATATGAAATGATAGAATATATACAATCTTTTATTACTGCTAAAATGTCATGAAATAGGAATAAAAATGGAAATAAATTAAACCCCCCTATCAAACATTTTCCTACCCCCTTTTTTTCCACTCACCTCTACCCCTTCCTTTCATGACCAATTCAACATGAATATGACCACTCTTGCCCCAGTTTGGTCCCTGTGGGTGCTGGAGTAGCAGTGTCAGAGTGGGAGCTGCCTTGTCTCATGCTTTGCTAAGGCTATGGTTCAGTATGGACAACACGTCGGCTAAAACCTACTGAGAGTAGCTGTCTTTGTCTCTGGCCCCTCCCTCAGTCACACACTGGCGAGTACCCAAAAATGTATGCAAAGGACAGATCAGCTAAGGATGGACTTTGGGCATAGAACAGCTGAAAAGTGGTGGGTAATGAATTATTGCATGAAGACCTTTTGTTAGCAGCTCCTGTGCCTTCTTACATCTGGGATCGCCTGGGAGAACAAATAAACTTCTTCAAAAAGGGCTCAACCCTTCAGCAAAGGTGCCTTGGGTCAGGTCTGTTCACACTGTTCAGCCCTTGGCCTCAAGCAGCTCTGGCACCCCAGCACATTTGTAAACAACTCTATGGATGGTCCCACAGACCATAGGGTTGGTTAAAGAGCTGCGGAGAAACCAACATCAGCTCAATAGGGTTGGTTAAAGAGCTGCGAAGAAACCAGCATCAGCTCATATGCAAAATGACTGTGTGCTCCTGACCTACTGGAGCAGCTGCTGCAAGAAACAGGGAAGCTGATGTTTTGCCTGCAAAAAGGAGGCATCTCCAGCAGCTTCAAGACACATGCTTTGAGGCAGCCTGCCTTGGTCTGCAGCACTCTGTCCCAAAAGATCTACTGCTTTCTAATTAGCACCAGAGATTTCTAGAGGAAGGCTGAGTACAAGGGAAACCAAACCCTCCCTGTTGCAATGGCTCCTCAGCTATCTGTAGCTCGACCACAGTATTTTCCCCAGGGAAGAAGAATGCCAGATGGTTTGATAAATGCCTATTTGACCTGTTCTGTGAACTAAATTCAATGAGTTTGGATTTCCAGGCTATTTATGAATCCATTAATCTTCTTAAGTGCTAAATTCATCTGTGTATTATAAAAGGCTGTTTTTCAAACCTAGTCCAGCCCAGTGCTGAAGAGGCATGTTATGTTAAGGATGCCTTTACAGGGGCAATATTTCATCCTGTCAAGGATCTATAGGCTTGGCACAGATGGTAGGATATTGGGCACAAATGGTTGTATTTCAGTTCCTATAAGTATGGATGCCTCATGAGTGAATTGTTTTTATAGTCCACATTTTCGTTTTCTGTGCTGACATACATTAAACCTGAAGATCGTCTTACTGTGCAATTGTTGAGCATGGCTTTGAAGTTAATTAGGGCTTCAAAGATGCTTCTGCTTTACCTGCAAGAATGGCAGATCTGAATGTGAAGCACCTTAAAATGTAGGTTTTAGCACAGATAGATAGCACTGTCAGGTGACAGACAAAGGGACTGTATATCATACATCATTGTGTGACAATGGGGCCGGTGACCTTGGACACCAATGATTTAAAAATTTCTTTAGTCAAATACCCTAACTACTTGCCCCAGAAGGCTTTCGTTGTGCTGTTGTAACAGAGCTGTGACTGCCTAGAAAGTACGTGGCTGGCATTGTACTGCATGTAATGGGCTTTCAGCTTTTTGGCAGTAATGGGGACAGACTTCATGCTCGCCTGCTCTGAAATCCTGCTCTTCCCTCTGAGCCAAGAGATCAGCAATGTGTGGTTCCAGCAGGACAGAGCATGTGAATGCTCTGAGTCAATCAGAAGTCTGTGAGTCTGCGCATTGCTCTCCCTTTGCTCCTCTCTCCTCTGTGCTGCTCTTTCCTTGTAACTCTATTCAGCTTGGGCACTGTCTTTAGCATGTGCCTACCTGGAAAAGCAGCAGCATTCTACAAAGGGCAGCAAAATATGGCTGCTCAAAAGCCTGAAAAGGACTTCCAGCACCACAAAAGCTTGTATTAGACTAGAAGTACCTGGTTCATTTTCATGATCCTGCTTTCTAAGCTCTTAGCAAAGGGCTTCTTATTTCACTGAATAGATGAGTAGATGTCAACTCCTCATTAATCCCCCCCCCCTTTGCATCTCTTGATTAGCAAACAAGTTAAATTAAGGATCTACCTTTTGCATGAATAATTTGGGGGGTTTATTTTCTTAGACTAGACTACTGATCCAAACTGTGCTTCAGGTGGTAAACATGAACCAGCTGTTGGTTACAGTTCCACGGCACAGCGTCCTTTCACAAACCAATTCTATTTTAAAAATTTGCCCCTGGACTGAGACACCACCAAAGATGTCACAGAACTGCAGGTCAAGCCCTGCTGAGATGCCAGTCTCGATGATGAGGGTGCTTTCCAGTCCTATCCTCAGTGTGAGATGCTGGGAATTTACTTCAAGCAGTTGGGAGGGATGCTCATAAGTTGTCTGGTGTTAAAATACACTTCATAACTGAAGTTTATTGAGAGCTCGTGTTCCCCAGCTGAAGCATTTGAGGTCTTGGGAGAAGGCAATTTGTTTTACTGTATAGTACCTGTTAACATGGTGCTCTTCACTGGTACAGGTGTTTTTTATGCTTTGCAACAGTTGCTATTAAATTAGAAGGAAGAAGTAGTCAATGTAAATAAAAAAAAAGAATTTGGATATCATCTCCTGGACTCAGAATTCTGCCCGTGTTACATTCCTAAGGGTCCTACTTGATGTTTAACATCAACACTGCTATGCTCTTTTTTTTTTTTCTTTACATTTACAGCTACTGCTAGTAATCTCCTGTGAACTGTAGCTATTGGCTTTTTGCTAATCTTGTGGAGTCTTACACTGCTTTTCTGCTTTGGAAAGAAAGAAGTCCAGGAGGACTCAGGAATCACGGTAAATAAAGATGACTTTTGCTAGAATGGCAGCAGATACTGACCAGCTGAAACTCAGGAACTGTTATGTATTTTAGCTAATTCTTGTTTTATGACATCTGGCTGCTAGCTCTTAAAACCCTAAATCTTGATTCGTTGAGTTTTCCCTTGATAATTTTTGTGGTCACAATTTCAGGTGGAACCAAATCAACTGAGTTAAAGTTTCTTATAGCAGAAAACTGCTGTTATTCCTTTGGAGTATATGAAGTCTTGCAAGAAAATAACCTGCAATGATCACTGCTGCCCCAGTGTGAGCTTCACAAGACACAGCTAGTTTTGGTAAGAAAAGAACACTTTCTAGGTACATGAAGCATGCCTTTCTCAAGGTCTGCTTTTGCAGAGTCAAGGTACGGGCTTTGCACAAACACTAATAATATCGGTCTTTACTTTCCCCCCACCCAAATCTGATAGAGGCCTGTGGAGTTTGAAGACTCTGCTGCAGTGACTTCCAAAACAGTTTTAAAAGAGCTTTATGGAAAATGTCAACCATGGAATAAAGACCACAAATAATAAAAAACATATCACAAGTATTACTTAAAAGCATGAAGTTCTGCTATTTTTTTTTAGCAAAACAAAAGAATGTTCATGCTGAAAATGCGTAAGGTCTAAGATGCAGCTGTGTCAAGGAACACTATCAAGTGGCCAGCTGTTGAGCAAACTTTAGATTTTACATGATGAAGCAGCACCTATAGGTCAAAACCTAAACATGCACAAAATCAGCACTAAAAGTCTGTCTTGGGCAAAGCTGGTCTTTTAAATTCTAATATAAAGATGGATAAAAATATGGCAAATAGATACTTTCTGAACAGAGAATATCTTGCCCAAAGCTTTATTTTGTTGACCCTGTGGTTAGTTGAACCAGTCTGCTCTTGTACTGTGTGATTAGTTTTATCCTTGAATGCAAAACATTCATTACTTCGGCAGTTTTTCTCACCTTTGACCTTTACCACATACTTTGATTATTATTGTACTTCCCTGTTGGTCTCTCTCTCTTTTAAGGATGAATTTAAAGTTAATTCTTAACTTGTATAGCATAAATCTTATATTCTCTATGAAGAATCCCGAAACATTTTAAATAAATACACATAAACCTTCCATTAGCTTTACTATACTCATCCATCTTACGGTTTACTTCACGTACATATCCTATTTATTTACTTATTTGGATTACCAGCTAATTTTAACTTGTGCTTGTTCAGCACTCTAAGACAGGGGCTTTGACCTGTGCCAGGAGCTTCTTATTGTGGCTACAGATTTACAATGAGACAAGCTTAAGGTGTTCTTCTGCCCCCTCCTTTTTTCCCCCTATTTTCCTGTTCCAAGCCAAAATTTGCCTGTGTCCTTGGTGCACTGCTGCACCAGGCCTGGCTGTGCTTGTGTCATGGTTTAAACCCTAGCCAGACAGCTTGTTCACTCACTCCCAGTGAGTGGTGCTCTCGCCCC